GTGTGTTAGAGGGGGCGAGCCAGGAGGCATGGGTTGCAGTTCAATTCCACCGGGAGAGAAGTCTCCAAGCAGGCATATTCAATGCGCTACTTTAATGTGCCCGAAGTCCATCCCGGGAACTTTTTGGGTTTCCTTTCAAGGAAGTGGAGACGTGCTCCCCGTGGGATGCCTCGCTCGCTCTGCCTCTGCCTGCTCCTCTCCCTGCTTAGACTCTCCGGAGGAGCATTTCAGACAGAGGATGAAACCTTTTAGGGGTGGGTGTGGGTGTATGGAGCAGAGGGAGATGCTCAGATTCCCAGGTAGGAAAGTAGGACTCATGGGGAGGAAGTTGAGGGTAATTTGCATGGTAGCCCTGCTTAGGAGCGGGAGAGACCTGGGAGCAAAGTAAGCCACGTTTTTAACTCAGGATCTGTAAATGTGTGTAGGGGGTTGTGCATCTGTTTCATTAAAAATGTAGTGTTTTAAAATAATAATAAAAAGAGAAATCCGACCAGAAAATGAGTTGGGTGTGACTGCAGATCTAGTTCAGGAGATACGTTTTTTTTCGGGTGCTATAGGGGAGCGGAAGTTGCTCTGTTAACAGAGAGGTTCAGTAAAAGCCTCTGCTCCAGCCTGGTGGACTCCTGGCAGGGATAGTCACTGGGAAGAGCATTATTGGCTTCCCAGCTTTCCAGCTGCCTTGGTGAGTTGTAAATCTTAAACTTAATGGCATGTTTAGGAGGCATCTCTTCCCTCTTCCCACTCACTCCCCTCCTCTCTTCCACCCTTAGGAAAAGCGAATGAAAATATTAGACTGTGCAAGCTACCAGTATCTCACAGGCTAGAGAAAATATCTAGGAATCAGAGATTGGGGATGCAATCCAAGTTATAGGGTATTTCTTCCACCCTTCTTTGCCGGTCCCTCCAAACCGGATTTGTAATGAACAGTGTAACCCCTCAGAACCTCGCTTTCCTTTTAGACTAGCCTCTTAGAAACCACATCCAGATCGGCTGGATACTGCTTAAACAAGATATTCATACTGTAATAATTATTAATAGTGGCAATAAAAATAATAGTAAATAGCACGAGAGAGGAGAGGTCCTGGGAGGTTCTGCGTAATAGATGAAGCAGCGAGAGTAGCCACTGAGTCTCTGTGTGTACGCATGTGTTTGTAAAAATTATCTCAGGTCTCCTTAAAATAAAAATAACAACAGTAAAAGCTACATCAAAGAGAATCTCCTCAATATGATGTAGCGGAAACCTCTGAGCTAACATCTAGATAAGAGATTTCTTGGTGTGTATGTGGAGGGGGGGATATTTTGCTTTGTTGATGAGATTTTATTCTTTTGTTTTGTTCAGTTTTAAACCTGCAATTAATCAAGCTATGCGCTAACTTTAATTTCTRTTTCATTGATGTGATTCTGCTTCTTGCAGTTCAGTTTTTCTTGTACTGTATGCCTGCATTCATAGACACAAACTCAGGAATAGGGGGAGGGACAGATAGAGAGAAAGAGGGGGATCATTTATCTTGCTCGRATGTGTTTAACACATATTCCTGAATTAAGCAAGATCCTAACTTCATTTCCCTTCATTTCACTCTGCTTTAAAGCTGCAGCCTAGGAAAAAAGCCAGGTGGAAAATCTTGTCACCTCATCAAACCAAATTGCATAAGTTCGTCTTGAAAGAAACATAGTCATTTTTAACCTCCTAGAAGTTGTGGACTTAGGAAGGAAAAATGATGATGACGATTGTTATATCGCAGGCGAGGGCTTGAATGAAGCTTCACCAGACACCGAGTTGCCAGCAATTCAGAGATCGGTTTTATTTAGTACATCTGAGAAGAGTTTGAACTCCTTTCTAGCGATGCYGCTGATTTATTAGCTAATCCTGATAAAAATGTGCCTCTGGCTACCTGGAAAAAAATTACTTTCTTGCCAGTAGTGATTAATTACTATTAAGTCAAAAAGCATGATGGGGCTTTGAAGGATGAGGTTTGTGTTTGGCTTTATTTTATTTCATTTCATTTCTTTCCATTTTTAACAGCTTTTTCTCTTTCCCTTCTCTAAATTCAGTCATGTGAAGCATAGTCTTCTCTCAGATCTCCTTATTTTTTGCTTTTCTTTGGAAGCATAGCTGAAGAACTGCATAAATACAACCCAGCTTGGCTCAAAGAGGGTAGGATGGCAATGTGAAACCCCAAGAWGATTTCCATATCAATGCATAATGTTTATACATTAATTGATCTATCACTCAGTTAATTTCATTCCTAATCCAGGGCACGAGGCAGTGCTATACCTTGAAGGGTTAATACTGCTTAATAGTTTATTTAAGTATTTAAGTGTATGGAGAACTAGATGGTGTGTAGGAGGGAGAAGGTGTGCTGGTGGTGGGGGTAGGGAAAGGAGAAGGATTCGCTCAGAGTAGAAATGTAGCAATCAGAGTAATTTCAGGTGTAAATCCATTGAAATGAGAGCGCAGGAYGTGCATGCTTCAAAATATTACGAGGAGATCCTAGGGTGATGTTTGCGTGTAGCGGGAGGAAATTCAAAATCAAGAACCTGAAGACAAAGTAAACGAGCGTTCTCCCCGCCCAAGAAACTACGGAAAACGGAGCGCCAAGTCCCAGGTTTTGCCACAAACGAGCAGCCCAGCCCGATTCCAGGCCAGAGAGCAGGGAAGAGGCAGGGGAGCTCGATCCCTCTGCAGGCAYGCGAGGAGAGAAAGGGGTGCGGGGGAAGCAGCCTGCCAGGGAAGGCGGGAGAGCATTGCCAGAGCCCGGAGAAAAGGAGCTTTCCCAGCACGAGCTCAGCTGCTACATATTTCCCCAGTCCTTGCTTCTCTCCACACGGGGCAGGGACGCGCTCCCGCTGTGGCACTTTGTTTTAGTGTTCGGAAGGGCTGAGATCCGCGGGTAGGGATCTACCGGAGCTGAGCTGACCCACCCACACGCTTACACACACACACACATATATATATATACACGCACATATACGTGCGCACAGAGTTAACTAATCACACTTGAACAATTTAGCAAGCCATCCATTCATAACTTCCCCCCTTCTTATATCTAGCAGTGGAGTATGCTTAAAGGCTGAGTTACTGGGAGACATAAAGGTTAGTGCTCTCAGGACAGCCATATTATAATGCATTATCTTTGAAGTCATTTAAGGCCAATTTAAGTGGTATTTAGTATAATATTTATGAATTAATGTAATCTAAATATAGGACTGTCCCCAAAGGTTTAAACAGCCTTTTCTATTGAAGCACACTTGTACCCAAGCCCTGGAATGTGTTTTAATTTAAAACACACAGGTCTCCATAATATTCTATTTAGGAAGTCGGAGGAAATCAGCATTCCACACTTAACCAAGATTTACTGAAATGCACGCGGGTGAGCACACTTAAAGAGTGGAGATAGCAAGCAGTGGAAAAACAGGAGTTTTTCATATATCTGAAAGCCACAACATCCTTTCGACTCTTATTTAGGAGGAGAAAAAGTATAAAACCCATAAAACCTCCGCAAAATCCACCACAGCAGCCCCGTGGTTAGGACGGGTGTACCTAGCTGACCCGAGCCTCACGCGACGAGCAGTCAATGCAGCTAGAAAAATGCAGTACGAGAAGAATAGTTTAGTTCTTCCATTGCTTATTCTTCTTGAAAATATAAATAATTCTGGAATTTAAGACACCTGGGGGGTAGGTAAGCAAAGCTTCMATTCATTACATTCTGTTGTGTTTGATTACAAAGATAGTTGATAGATAGATTAAATCCTTGTTAAGGCTAAGCGTGATTGTAAAGCTTTTAGATAGCTCAGAAATTCTAAGGTGCAATGACAATGAACATTCAATTAAGAAGATATATTTGTATATACGTATAAATGTATAGATTTGTGTGTGCGTACACATACAGAAAAAGAGGAATGTATACATATTCATGCATATAGCCTTTGGGAAATGGAAATTTAGTTGAAAAGAAGCACAACGCAATACAGGTGCTGAATAAACTCCTCCATAATTGAAACATAAGGCTTGCCTGGCTGAAAGCAACACATACAGCATTTAGTATGGTAGTAAACCAAACAAGTTTTAAGGAGGTAAATGCACAAATAAACTAGAATAAAACAGAGGAGGCTTTATGCCTTAGGTCTGAAGAACAACCCCTTAAAACAATCAAAATGCAATTGGATATCTTGATGGGAGAGAGAGAGAAAAATCAACGCCCTGTACATTTATAATCTCCCATATAGATGAGCATCTATGTATATTTGATAATGTCAAACAGCCCAGATT